TTATTTTTTTATTTCTATTATAAGCAAATATGACATTTAGAGGAAAAAAATATCAATGATAATTGCATACCGTGTGTATACAAAGTCGCCAATAAAATAATTAAAAACAAAACGACCATTTTGTAATGCCAGTGGACCCGAACCTATTATACGATTAACCGTTTTAATTACAAACAGTCGTATCTACCCCTTTGCTAGAGTTGTCCTTTAGATTTATTATTATTGTAGTTTTGGATGAAATAGAGTTTATACTTACGAAGAGCAGCTACTTTAAAGAATTTAGAACACTGAGCAACCGAAAAAGGCCATTATCGAAAAGCTTTAACGTTCTTACAAATTTATTAACATTTAGATATTTTTATAGCAGGGTAAGTTGCATTTGATAGCGGCATTGAAAGACTTAATGCAATTTAATGATTATAATGATTTTAGTGAGATTAATGGGTAGTTATCTGTAACGGTTATATTCTATTTAAAAATAAATACGGAGAAACATCCAGAAGTGATGTTTATTAAAATATACACACGCAATAAATGACATTTTTTTTTAAATTTAACTATGTCTATAATGTTATGTAGTATGATTCGTTGCTGAATGGCTATTTAAGACTGGAGAGATTTTTAAATGCGTTATGCTATATATTTGCAAGAAATTTTTGATGTTTTTTTTTTATCTAACTTAATTTGGCACGAAACTCTACTTGGCAGTTTTTTACGAGAGACCTATGTTTTTTGAAATGTTTTTTTTTTCTATTATTCAATACCATTGATATCATATTATTGTACATGATTTTCGTCAAAATTTTAGTCTATATTATTTACCGTAGCAATTACAGTGTCAGTTGGATGATTAAACTTAGTTCAAAGCATTTAACAAGTAATCTTCGAATCCAAACATCACTATGAAAAACTAAAAATGTAGCGACATATTCTTCAAGTACTCACTACTCTGTAGTCTGTACTACTCCATGTTTTTTTTAACATTTTCACCGATTAAAAAAGAAGTTAGCGTGCACACAAAATATGATGCGACCTACGAAAGTCAATGAAGTCTTAAAAAACGCCAACGTGCATGCATCAGTACCTCAATTTATTTAATAATTGTTTTTAACGTCGACATATGTCGATTTGTTGCAAAAACTATTCAGAAATGAGAAACAGCACAGCAGAAAACAGTTACATATAACCTTGAACTAAAATTTTAGCCATATATTATTTCTTATCACGCAATTATAAAAATGACATTAATAAATTTAATAAAAACGAAAAGATAAGAAAACTTAAAACCACCTTAAAAACAGTTTCCTACCAATGTTTCAGTAAATAGCAACAAAAACCAATGAAATTCAACGACCTTCGTGGAACGGGAAAACTAGGAGAAATCACGATACATTTGGGAAACTATGATTCTAGCCGGCATTGGAAAAGCAACCTTGCCGCGCTCGAGGGTAACGAGGAAACGTATGTCGGAAGGTATTAATTTACGGTTTAATTTCCTTTACGCGGTATTAACGGTCCGCAAAAAAATTGAACGTGCGCAGTTTTTTACTTAACGTTTGCGTGTTGAAATGTTATGTTTTATTTTATTTTTCTTACGGCTGTCCGCGATTTGGCCGCACGGCATTAATTTTAGATGGAAGTACGGAAATTTTGACACACTTTTATAGTTTGGGTTACTCTTATCGTAAATAAAAGTGACGTATCAGATAAATTTAAATTGAGTCGATGGTCGGGTTAAACAAATTTTTAGTGACCTAAATATTAATCTACATCTATACAAAAAAATAAAATTGTAGTGTCTGTTTGTAATGTCAAAATTACAGCTTTTTACTAAATGCATATGAAAGTATATACGGTACTAATAACAAAAATATTTTTTAAAAAGTTTTTGTCTCTCTGTCCGTCTGTCTGTCTGTTTGTTCCGGCTAATCTGCGAAACGGTTGGACCGACTTTGACTGGATTTTCGCTAGCAGATAGCTGATGTCACAAGGAGTACCTTAAGCTACTTTTATTTTGGAAAAAGAATTAGGGTTCCGCGCAAAAAAATTAAAACTTCAAATAATACGCGGGCGAAGTCGCGCGGAACAGCTAGTATATAAATAAAATTTAAATGTCTGTCTTTAATAACGAAATAAATGCCTTTAATTAGGTTATTTGAATGCAGTTAAAACATAAATAATCATTTTTAAAATGCCTGTCTGTCTGTTTGTAGTGTACAGGCTAATCTTTGGTTTTTTTTTAATTTAAATTTCTGAACCAGTTATAATGAGACTTCACGAACAGATAGAGAGCGATGTCAGGAGTGATCTAGGACATATTTATCAGAAAAACTTGGACTTGGCGAAGCCAACGCGGGAGGTAGTATTGAAATAAAAGTTTATAATGAAAAAGCTAGTAGCTAGTAATTCATTAGCTTGTGCATTTACATTCCGCGTATGTTTTGTTTTGTGTGTTTGTTGTTTTGTTTGTAGTTTGTCACAAAAAAAATTAACAGAACTTAGATCCTGATTTGTGATTAGAAGTAAAAACATTTCAGCTTGAAACTAAGATATACAAAATATAAGGAATCACTCGATATATGGGCCACGTATTAAACTAGAGATGTAGGTAAAAACGTAACGAGTGCCATGTCTAAAATATAGATTTAAAAAATGACATTAATTTCCGCGTACCTATATTCCATAAAAGTTTCATGTGTTAGACTCGTTAGGTGGCGCATTAAAGAATTTACATGGGGCTAAATTATGGTGAGGGAGGACACTTCATCAATGATTCAAGAACACTGCGTTCCCGAACGGAACTACCACAGTTTTCTGATGTTCTTAGGCAATTAAATTTAACGGTAGAGAAAAATTTCAAAACATGTAAGAAAAAAATTGCTCATATGTTACATTAGACGTGAACACAAAGGTACAGGGGCACAGGCATCTCTCATTTCTGAGAGAATTAGTCTGCCACGCTGCTTCAATGCGTGTAACCAAAATATTTCGGGAACACGTGAAGACCGCAAGTCTTCACGTGTTCCCGAAATATTTTGGTCCTACATGCAGGTTTCCTCACGATGTTTTCCTTCACCACCTTGCATATGGCAAGTCAGCACTGAAAATCGTAATAAAAAAATCTTTGGTGAAACCGGGTTGCTCGCAAAAGTAGTGTACTTTTTTATGAAAATATCTTTTAAGATAATTATGATAAGTACCTACCACTTACGCGTGTTTTCATAGAGATTGGAATCTGTTACAATGTGTAAATATGTGATTTTATACTTCATATCATTATGAGTAATACACTACCAGCTAATCGCCTTAAATAATAAAGTAGCCATAAAGTGACAGCTTACATACTTCCCGCAGCTGGGCACAGGCCACGGCGCATTTCGGGGTTTCAGGGCAGGAAAGAGACCGCTTCGGTGTAACATAATTGTGACATAATTCGAGTAAATTTCTTTAAAATACTTTACGTAATCTATACAAATAAATAAAATTGAAGTGTCTATTTGTAATGTAAAAATAATAGCTTTTTATTAAATACATATGAAATTATATACGGTACTTATAACAAAACCACAATTTTTAAAATTTTTGTCTGTCTGTTTGTTCCAGCTAATCTCGGAAACTACTAGTCCTATTTTGACGGAACTTTCACTGGTAGATAGCTGATATTATAAGGAGTAACTTATAATATCAGCTATCTACCAGGAGGCTACTTCCATTTAAGAAAAAAATTAGGGTTCCGCTCGAAAAACTAAAAACCCATGAAATCCAATCGTAATAAATTACACGCGGGCGAAGTCGCGTGGACAGCTAGTCCTTAACTAAAAACATAAACAATTAAAGCGAAGTAAAATATATACTGAACAGAAAGTGTCATTTGTTCAAAAAAGTTTCTTTGCCACATTGCCTTTGTAAATTGGTCTTGTACCTTAGAAATAAATAATTTCTAAAGCATTCCATAACACTTATATCTATAATACCACGTTTGACAAAGGAAAAGGCGTAAAAAGTGAGAAACTTTATTTCATAAGAATATTGAGGTGTTAGCCCAATACAATTAAATAATTGGGAGGTGTGAATAATAAAATAGTTCACTTGATAGACCTCATTAGATAGAATTACGGCTAATAATAAGTAAAAAAAAAATGTTATTTTGTTTTATTTCTTTTTAATTTGGTAGTAATTTTTGGCAATTTTATATTTTACAAAGTAAGTGAGTAAAGAAAAAAAGGTAAAGTACAATTAATTTTTGTTAATTAAGCAGTTTTACGTAGCCAACAGTGGTAAATTTAAGCCAAGTGGAGTGGAGCTAGGCCTAGTCTAATATAATTATTGCCCTTATTGTTTTAAACAAGGTAATTATAGGTAAATAATTGTATTGTAAAAAATCCGTGTAGCAATCAAGAGTCTGAATCTTTTAATTTTATATTATATTACACAGGTATCCCAATTGGTTTTGAAATATAGTTTTTGCATAAAATCTGCCACCCTTGACCCAAGTATCGTATGCTTAAGCTGAAATCTGCTGTTGGCTGCGTAGTGCCAGTTTGAGATTACAACTGATGAGACCTTTTATCTCACATGTCGGGGAAACAACATATCTGAGGCGTTCCTGGTTAGAAGTCAATAACAAGTGTCTTTAACAAATTCAACAAATTAACTTTATCAGTTCAGGTGAACTGATAAAGTTAATTTGTCGCTAGAATATAAATCTTTTCATCATTATTCATATCGTTACAGTCCATTACAAGCCCACTGCTTAACATAGGCTTCCCCATAGATTGCCGCAAAGTTAGGTTCTAAGCTAGCTGCAGCCATCGACCGCATGCATGTTTCATCAAGTCGTCATTCCACCTAGAGGAAATCGCCCAACACTACACTTACCAGCACGCAGCTACCAAATTTTATTAGATTTACTGGCTTATTAAAGGTTGGTATAAAATTAATATTAGTAATTATATAAAAATGAAATTATATTAAGTTGTAAATTCAAACTTAACACTCACCATCTTTAGGCGGACTGGCACATTGTGGAGCATAAGACCCTAAATGATAACCATACGTGTTTTGATGCATGGGAGGGAAAGGATAACCTAAGGACCTAGGACTGGGAAACCCTGACGCCTCGTGAGGATTCTGCTGGCCCCCAGGACTTCCAAAATGGTGAGGATGCTGATAACCTCCCTTGAATGCTCCATAGCCATGCTGTTGTAATTCTATAAAGGCCGATTTCGACGAAACATTTGTTGGTGTCGAATTCGCCGAGTTGGAAATATCATGGGGGGTTTGCGAACCACCCAAATGGTGATGTTGGTGCTCCATCGCCTCCTGGGTGGTCATGGCGGGCTGTGGGGTCGACGGGCCCCCCCCGTCCGATGACTGGGGAGGCCCAAAGGGATCTGTAAAACTCAGGTTGCCGGGTTTGTTGTTTGGGGATTGAATTCGGGTAATTTTGAGGGATTTCTGCTGCTCTGTTAGTATTTTGCCGCTGGCTGAGCCTGAAACAAAAAGAAAAAAAAATTAAAGATTTTAATTTTCATAAAAAATATCTTTAAGTAAAACAATATTATCCATAACCATATATACATACATGAGTGAATATATGCAAACATTTTGTAGGTACTTAAAGGGGGAACATGTAACCTTTCATTGGCAAGCAGAGTACCCAGGTCATTTTAGGACGAGACTATGGTGACCAAATCATGGCCGAAAACACTGTATAATAATAATTTTAATGTTTTCATTGTTTGTTTTTATTTTAATATAATATTTACATAATTACTTGCCATGTGGGGGAGGTGTTAGAAATAACATTGCCAGAATTCGTTTCTTGGGGTGCAGAGTAAAGCCAGGAAGGTTAAATGCATTTTATAACTTTTTTTTATTTTTATAAGCCACTGCTTCACTGCTATGCCACCTGGTGGTAAGTGGTGATAAAGCAGAAGATGATAAAACGATGATTGCTATAACTATCCCCTTGATGTCAGACGTAAAATATCCAGGCCGGTGATGGGACGCAGAAAATTTATACATGATAGAGCCATGCTGCAGTTATATTAGTAGTATAGTTGTAGTACGAATGGGTCGCCTCGACCGGGGAAGGACCACGCTCTCACAGAATACCAGCATAAAATGGCAGCTTGACACTGCTGTGTTTCGTATGGTGAGTGTAGAGAACCGAAGACCCATTTTACAGGAAAAGAGGTATTTCATCTTAGTCCTCACGAGTGACGACGCATCTGCATTTTGGTTCTTTATTGAGTCACAATCTACGGGTCACAGCAACCACGTACCATCAGGTGGACTGTGTGCTCGTTTGTCACCCTATCTTATAAAAAAAATTAAAGGTACAAAACTTCAAATATTGCGATTTGACGAAACCATTCTGCAACATGTGAGAACCATACTGATGATGAACAAGACTTTGAATATTGTACATATCCATCCCTCTATCCATTACAGCCTATAAAATGCCACTGCTGAACCCAGGCGTCCCTCATAGATTGCTTCATGGTAGGATTTTGCCATAGTTGCCACGCTTATCAAGCTGGTTGGCAAGCGCGGTTTTTTTATTATACTGAAGTGTTATCGGGAAAATACTGCTGCCCATCTCCTGTTTCATTTTCCCTCTGACGCCTCTTACGACACCCTCGGGACAATATGGGGTATTCTCACACGGCTATTACACTAAACATACGCTCGACACCTATTGTAGATATAACTAATAATACTTTATTGAAATTTAAGTGAATTTCTTTAAGTCAACATGATTGACTTTTGCGCAATGTATTTTGAAGACTGCTTACAGTGTTTAGAACTTACATGTGAATATTAATGAAGCGTCCGTAGATTCCATGCATATCTTACCAACGCAACGCCCAATCATGCGTAACGGTTATAAGTTTAAAAAAAATTTAGACATTTCGAAACGCGACCGCCCACTCCCACGGGGTCACGAGAGTTCGTTTGGTATTGTAAGTTTTCTGGAAAACAATTTAGCCGCCGACACGGTCAATTGATCCAATGAAGTGGCCTTAACCGGTCGATGCAGGCATATGGACGAAACGGCTAATATAAGTGTACCTACCTAATTCTAAACGGAGCGTTGTTACTTTTTAAATGCAGTTCTGAAGCAGCAAGCGGGCAACATAAATTCAACAGTGACATCTGTTAATATTTCATTATTAACACTCATTTCACACTGTCAGAATGCTGATAAAATAGTCATAAAAAAAATAGGCGTACGAAATTTAATCAAATTTATGCAAGATACACGCAAAGTATCTATGTAAGTACTTAAAAATATTTTAATGCTTAAATAATTCTAAAATTTGAAATAATAAAACAATTATATTTACATACATAATTATAATGCAGAATAATTCTTCAAACTGGAATCAAATGAACAAGTGTATTAATTTACTTCTATTAGAATAATTGTTTAAAATGGTCTTGTAAGTCTTTTAATGTTTTAGTTTACATGTAACTGAACTAATAATTGTAAACAATGATTTCATATTGTTTTTTTAAATATTTGTTAATAAACGAGACCTCTTTTTGGTATACGTGGTAGAGCCATGCTGTAGCTATATTAGTAATATAGTTGTAGTACGAATGGGTCGCCTCGACCGGGGAAGGACCACGCTCTCACAGAATACCAGCGCAAAATAGCAGCTTAATGCTGCTGTGTTTCGTATGAGTTAGTGTAGAGAACCGGAGACTCATTTAACTGGAAAAGAGGCATTCCATCATAGTTCTCATCCTCAGGGGTAACAACGCATATCTGCATTTTGATTCTTAACCGAGGATGAATGCAGATGTCTACGTGCCACAGCATCCGCTTACCATCAAGTGCTTTGTGTGCTCATTTGTCACCGTTATTCTATAAAAAAAAATCACTTTAATGTAAAACGAACGCTTCTTAGTTCAAAACTAATTTAATTAATTTTATAAGATACAATATAAATAAGTCATACCTCAAAAACTGTTAAACGTCTAGGATCAAATTTACTGTATTCCCATAATAATTTACAGCTTTTTATTCGATTAAAAAACTAATTGGGCATCGCCTTCCCCGCTATCCATTCACAGGGCAATTTCTTAACAAACTTACCCAAGAAAAGTTAAAACATTAAAACAAATGACCCCGAAGAATTGAAACTAAAAAACCCTTTTCGGCAAGATCTTTGTGTTAATTACTACATCTGTTGACCCTTTCTCCCGTATAACAACAATCATTTAGTTATCTCTTTTTAACATTAAGTCCTTTCTGGTCTCACATCTCTCGACGGCGCCTATAAAAGGTCGGGTCAAATCGTTTTGTTATATATATTTTTTTTGTTTTTGTTTGTTTATGTACGTGTTGATTGCTCTTGGTCGTAATAATAATGTTTAGAGTCAACTAATTGGTGTAAATTTTTATTGAAAATTATTACGGTTTAATATATTTTCGGGTAAGTAAAGGATCAATTCAATCGATCTGTGAATATTATACTTATAACGGATTTAATTTTTACACATTGATACAAGACATGTTTATGATTGAGAATATTAAATTCGATGTTTTATTTAGCTACGGGTATTATATCATCATTAAGTAATGGCACGTTGGCAACCAGTTATTGGCACTTCGTTAAGCTAAAATAAGAAAAACACCACCGATTAAAAGTTTTTTAATCTTTAGATCATCTCCGTTGATGTTTACAATGATGACATCTGTGATGATATTGAAATAATAAAAAATACATGGCTATAATTTATGCTACATTATTAACTTTATATTCAGTTGGAACAAGCTAAAATGGAAGGAAAACTGGTCAAGATAACTGCACTACTAAGATTGATGTTCCAGATTCTCATGAAATCTATCCATCTTCTTCCTCTATAGTAACCCGCAAAAATATATTGCTAGTCAAGGACCTCTCCCGTGGTTGTAGAGATTTGCTTCATCATTCCACAGCGTAAAATAGCAGCTTAACGCTGCTGTGTTTCCTTTGGTGAGTGTAGAGAACCGGAGACACTTTTTACTGGAAGCGAGGCATTCTATCTTAGTCCTCACGGGTGGCAACGCATCTGCATTTTTATTCGACAGAAACCACTTACCATCAGCGGACTGTGTGCTCGTTTGTCATTCTTATCCTATATAAAAAAATATATATATTTTGCAGGTGGATTGAAATTTACAGTAACATTTCGCATCTTTAAACCTCCTCCTTTTAACGTGTCAGTGTATTTCAAGCCTATTGTTGACGGAAGGATAATACCGCCATCTATTCTAGACCATATGTTTTTAGTATTTGGCATAGTCGCCTATTACGACACCCACGGAAATGGTGTGATGTAAGCAGCCATCCCACGTCACCTAATCTCTTATATTAATGCACAACACAAATCATTTCTTAATATAAATATAATATGACGAATATTACTGTTAAACAAAGGCAACCCACTTCCGCACATTTTAAATCACAAAACACCTACAATTGCGCGTCGATATGAGGCATTTTAAAGAAAGAGTGACAAAGGAGGCCCTTCAACACCTAGGTCTGTCTGTTGTCATCCCCGAGGACTAATATGGAACGCTTCGTTACCAGTAAAAAGCCTCTCCATTCCTCGTCACTCACCATACGAAACACGTTTCTATTGCTATTTTGTGCAGGTGCTCTGTGAGAGAATAGTCCTTTCCCGGTCGACTCGACCCATGCTTATTTACCCTGCTAATTTCTTGAGCGATTTGTTGTATTGCTACCTCATACAAAATACGTCCCTATGGACAAATAATCGTTTCTAGTATATATAGAATAGAATAATTCAACATCGGTTACAAATAATTCTAAAATCAAAAAATACGTTTTTTTTTTACTTAAATACCGCCAGTAGGTACTAGCAAATATCGCTGCAGTCAAAATTGTTAAGAAGGATCCAGAATATTTTCTTACTTTCTTTAAAAAAAAATGGTGCATGCAGGGAACTTCTGTGTACCTACTGTAGGCGTCTTTCATACAAAAACTTCAAATGGAAAGCATCCAGACTTGGTTCCATTATTAGTAGGATATAAAGAAACTGGTTCCGTGCGTCAATTGAAACCGTTGCCTGCAGTTCTGTAGGCACTGAGGCGTCAATTCTTGTAATTTTACTTGTAAAGCACCCTATTTTGTACTTGTTATATATATTATATAATCACATTTATAGTAGGAAGACTATATATATTACCGTTTTCTATAGAGTAAGGGTAACAAACGAGTATCCTCGATTAGGAATCAAAATGCATGCGTCGTCACCCCTGAAGGTTAAGATGAAATGCGTCGTTTCCAGTAAAACGGGTCCTCGATTCTCTACAC